ACATCTTTATATGTGTGAATATTACGTAAGAGAAGGTTTAATTGAATTAATTCCCATTCGGTTTCTACTGACTCAATAAAAACAAATTAACCCCTAAGTATTTTAAAGGTATGACGCAGCAAAATTAAGAACCAATAGTCCGTTCTCATCGTCATCATTGAACAAAGCTTGGAATGGCAGTCAGCTCTCTACTTCAACTTCATTGACTTTGAATAAGTCTTCAACAGCGTCGATTGAGAAGTGATTTTACAACTACTTTGCTACTATGGGATGCCATCAGCAATTATATACCTCATCGAAATAATCCCCAAACGAGAAACTCACTGAATCCTTCGAATTGAAGACAGGAGTAAGAAAAAGCTGGCTGACTGCCTACTACCTGCAATGATTCTCCTGATTGCGGTAGACTGAATAATGCCGCAGACAGTGGGCAGCGAGGAAACATGCACAAAATGGACCCATACAAAAAACTTGGAAGATCTGAACTTTGCCGACGATATATGTCTGATTTCCCACAAACTGGAAGATATGCAAGTGAAAAGCAACAAGTTGGCAGAAGAAGCATCTAGAGAAGATAGGACTTCACTTCAGGTGGACATAAAGAAAACAGAGGTGATGAAGATTCCTGGCCAACAGCAACATACGACAATCAGCCAGCATAAGAGGGGCGAATCTGAAAGAAGCAACATCCTTCAACTACCTACCTGCCAGGGAAGCATCGTTTCAACTACAGGCGAACGGAGCTGATGAGGATATCGAAGCTAGGATCATCGGAAAAGCAGGGCAAACTTTCATTACTGTCAAGTCTGTGTGGGGATCAACAGCACTCAGCATGGAAAACAAGATCCAGATTTTCAACTCCAGTGTGAGTCAGTGTTACTTTATGGACCAGAGACTTGGCGCGTCATCAAGAGCACTTCGAACGAAATACAGAATTCCACCAATGACTGTCTTCGCTCAACACTCAAGATCAGATGGGCGGCCAGAAAACACCAGCAACAGGGGTCTCTTGGAGCGAACCAATCCAGCAGGGACCAACTGTGCAACAAATACACAGGAAGAAATGGAGGTGGATTGGCCATAATCTGAAAGAACAAACCATTAAGTGACATCACATGCCAGACCATCACTGGAGTGGAACCCGAATGGGAGTCGACAAGTTGGTTGTCAGTGCGAGGGTGATATGGAGGAGGTGATGCGAAGAGGAGACGAAATCATATGGGCAGACGTGGAGGCAGCCAGGTGATGAAAACGTTGACAGAGAACCGAACGCACTGGAGACGTGTGGCTGAAGCCCTATGTTCCTCCAGGAACTAAGGGAAACAATAATAATAGTAACAAGTCTGTTCACAATATGTTTGAGTAATTAATCTTCAATAATCGTTCAAAACTTTAAAAATAAATGGTCTCAATGGCAATTGTCAGGAGACAGGATTGCACGGATAAGTTGTGCTTGTTTGATTTTAGTTGATGCTGTAGTTCAACTTATAATGTGACAGTTGTGAATACTGACAAGCGTTACTTGTGTTCCATCCAACAACAGGAATAAACAATTTTTAGTAAATTCGCTAACTGTTGCCCGACAACTAAGACAAGACTGGAGAATTGACCTGACAGATTTTAGGTAAATCAAGAGCATCCTTGAGTTTCACCCATTGGTCGTGTCATTGTCATTCGTTTATAGACTGTATTTTAAACAACATATACACTACTAAATAGGCTTTTTGTTGGCTAGGATTAACCAACGAATTTCACTTAATTATGGTACCATTTTGCAGTGGCAATACTTCACCTCACCAATAAAATATTTATGTCCACCTCTTCTAAAATTTGTCTATCCTGCTCTCAGATGTATCCGTAGGTGTCTCAGTATTACATAGTTTTGTATCATTATTTAAAGCTCATGTCAGTGTTTTGACATCCCAGGGAACTAGTGTTTTTAAAGTTCTAATAAGCTGTTAAATATCGCCTACCAAGATGCATTCTCAGCCTAAGAATCTGTGACTATCACATCGCATTTTGACATAAATCATGAATTCTTAAAATTAATCAGCTAAGTGATTTTATCATGAGCTGACATCAGTTAGAGAACCATTGGAAAACCTGGGTATACTGGGAAGCTGCTTCGTCCTAGTGTGTGACTCTTCATCAGTACTCGCCCACCGGGGTTCGGGCCCAGAACCTCCAACCAATCAAAAAAATCCCTACAAAAACTAATATTTAAAAAATTAATCTTATGCTCACTAGAAACTAGCCCTATTCAGGCAGTTAACCTGGGGTTCTAGTGGGAAGCCATGACCAGTAGGGTATAGCAAGTCAAAGGTGAGACAGAAACTCATCGAAGAAGACACTGCGAATTGGTCGCGCTATGCCATGAATTGGCAGAAGTTAGAACTCATGGACTGACCATTGGGTAGGGTCCCTGTGGCTTAATGGTCTACAAGCACGCCTTGTACCTAGAATGCCCCAGATTGGAAGTCTGGTGGGTGCATGCTGCTAAACAGTTTCAAACTAGGACGAATCAGCTGTCCAGTACTCCCAGGTTTCCCGATAGTCCTCTAAGTGATGTCAGCTGCTGATGAAATCCTCCAACCAATCAAATAGAATCCCTAAAAATAATTGATTTTTCCTAGTTTTCTTCTAAACATGCAAACTGTTCTTCTCTCGATTTCCAAGCGCTTGGTATGTTTGCATATTTGATTCAATCTTAAAATGCAGTTTCTGTCAGAAAATAAGACTACATTCCCGCCTGCACTCCTATTTGTGTGACATGTTTACTTCAGGAACAATAAGGCTTACTTTATCTGCAATTCACTAAACGCTTCGGCAGTATCATATTCATGTTGATTACTCGGTAGACAACACTTAAATCTCCCAGTAAGTACTACCGAAATAAGTTATTATTCTTGATGGTGTGTAGAACAGAAGATATCTAGAAGTGATTGCAGTTAAACCTTTTTCAATAAAGTATCAGAGACTCAAGTTTACCTTTTTTGTCAACAACAAAAAATCGTCCTAACGGGATATTTACATTTTACATTTTATTTTTGCTGTCATTAGAATGAACTACTGATATAATTTAAATAGTTTTGATTCCTTGAACAAATTGTGTTACTTCCCCCGAAAGTTCAATCAATAATACTTAATTGTTTTTTTTTTTAATCAATCTAACACCTTCATCTTAAATGACAAATGAAATCTGTTCTTTCTTCTGGATGTAGACTTTCTTCTGCTGTTTTTGGAGTTGCTCAGTGTTTTGAATTTTATTCCGAAAGTGTTTATGAAAATGAATGAGTTTTAAACATCTTAAATTACACATTTAAAATGTCTACAAAACTATTAACTTTCATGCTATTATGTAGCTTTTGAATTCTATGAATACTAAAAAATATTAGCCTGAGAGTAGCTGTTGGGCGCTGTGGTAGATGGCAAATCCACATAAAATAAATTTATCTGATATAATAAACTGTGATACAGTATTTAATATGGAGCTGAAAATTCTATTCTTCATCTAATACTGTCTGTTATTCAACGCTTTTGAGCTAAATGTTTGCATTCTTAACAACCTTGAATATATGGCATCAGTTATGCGTCAGGAATACACAGCTACATAGTGACTTCCAAATTTGACAAATTATTTTTTCGGATAAAAAATTATTTTAGTTTAGTTCTCATACGTACATCCTGCTATATTTCTTTTCATAAAATGATATCTGGAAAATTTGTTTTATATTTGTTAACTACTAATAAGTAGCCAAAGTAGACTAAGTAATTTAACAAAATGCCACTGATGAATGAAATATCCTAAACCATGGTCTTAAGTTTCCTAGGTTGCCAGTCTATAGAATGAGTCCCAAATCTAGCCTCATCATTATTATCAGTCTGATCTCCTCAGGCTGTCTTACATAACCTCACCAGTTACATTGTTTTTTTAAATTTTATTATAGCTTGACTCCACATAGTATTTTTGATACAGGTATGGAATTTTCAGCATGAGAAATCGGTAGCCCAGATTTAGCAGGCTGATCATTGATATCAGGTGTGCGTCAGCCGTGGATCGAACCCTTGAACAAATACATAGTCGGCAAGAGTCCTAACCGCTGTGCTACCAACGCACACCTTCCAAATAGCCTCATGAATTCTTATATCCATGAATTAAAATTGGTATTCTTTTCCATACATGTGCCCATTTAAAAACCAGAGACCTCATGTCACTACAAATTTAGCATTTCCAAGAAGTAAAGAAAGCAACAACTTATTTGACAGTATGTTGTTCAAAACATATTTTTTTGACAAAATCACTTATATCTATTAAAATTCTATGTGGTACAAAGACATACCGGTTAGATTTGACTGATGATCACGTATTCTTGTTTGATATGCTTACTTGTAATTGAAAAATGAGATCCAAAGTCATTTCGAATACATCCATCAACTATGCGTACAACAAATGAAATGCATCATTTACTACTTTTGAATTACATATTTAAAAGTTTGAACTTGTTGGTAATGTGTTGATGCAAATAGCTTCAAGGTCGACTTCATCAAAAACCAAGATTGACATGAAAAACTGTTAAGCATCAAGGTGTATCTGATGACTGTTTCATCTCTTCGGCGGTTCTCCAACCCGATACACACAGCTAGAGTGAAATATTGTAGGTTCTTTCTCATTCCATAACTCCTGATTATGAATTTCTTTTTGTAACTGGACAAAAAGTGCTTTGTGCTGCTATAACTAATATTTTTAATGGCATCTGTACTAATATGACTTCGAATACCTTTGCAGCCATTCTTTTTCACTGCAATACTCATATTCCGTAGACTGAAACTACATTAACGACTGGGAGACATTAGTTTTTCTGCATTACAAACTGAATCCGTCTTATTATACGATCATTTCTGCAATGTAAGTCAGCTTTATGCGTTTATTCATTTACCAGACCATAATTAATAAGTTAACATACCCTTTATCATACTACACTGTTCTTTTCTGCCCTTAGGTTATAATGTTAATCATCTGGACATTGCACCACGTTACGCCAGTATACTCATGGGTTTATCTAATGGGGTTGGGACAATATCTGGGATGATTTGCCCAATTACAACTGAATTACTAACTAAAAATCAAGTGAGTATTTTACTGATTTACATAACTGAGATTACAAAGAGGTCAACTCAGATTATATATATATATACTTTGGATGAGCACTAATCAGTGACTAGAGTAGTATATCTAGTCCTTTGTTTGGTACAGACTGAATCCTGTCAGTCAAGTTTGCGATGTGGCCAGCATTCTAGGTGGTTAGCCATCATTGTGCACTTTGAATTGTTGATATCAGGTGGCTGAAGGCAAACAAAGGACTGGATACACTACACTAGACTAGTCACTGACTAGTGTCTAATCAAAGTATCCAGTACAGTCTTACAGGAGGTCAATCGCGAGCCCGAACAGCTCAGTGGTAACGTCTCAGATTGCAGCACTGAGTAAAGCTGGTTCGAATCCTAGAAAGGATATGAGTTCCTTTAAAATCACGGATACGCCTTTCTGACGAGCGCCGGCTAGCCCGAAACCTAGGTTGAAGGCTTCCTGTCGAATGCCTCCAACCAACAAATGTATATATATATATATATATATATATATATATATATATTACAACAGTAGCATCTGCTTGGAAGCTGCTAGCCTGTTGTGAGTGACATTATGCAACTGCGTCTTGTAATTGGTATATAATAACATTATCTCCCCATACATGTTAATTGTTCATAGGGGAAAGAACTAATGGATTCCCGTAGCTGAGACACTACAAAAGCAACTACTATCTTTCCTTAGATAAATGATGAAGAGAATAAAACTTTTGATCAATAATGTTCGCAGTTGGACTTTTAATTGTCTCAAATCAAACAATAATAAAGAATGCAAGGAATTGGAGGAACGACTTCGTACTTTAAAGCTATACAATCGGTGTTTTATACACACTCACCATACAGGATTGATAATCATAACTAATAATTAGTTAGAAACAGAAATAAAGATCAGGCCCATTGTTAGGTTCTCAGGCAGGGTGATACATACTACAGCTTTCAAGAAAAGATGTGATTAAGGGAAGCATGAAAATGATAAGAAAGCGATTGTAGGCAAAGAAACAGCGAAAATGAAAATACAGTTTGTAGAGGAAGTTTGAATTTTATAAAATAATCGTGTTTACAGGTTTGTACAAACTCCATTTGCAAACATAATTTTCATGAATATAGCATCCAGTTCTCCGGCCCAAAGAAGTTTAAGGCATGCGTCGATGGCACAGTGGTTAGGACTCTCGCCGACCATGCACAGGGTCCGAGGTTCGATCCCCTGCCGACGCACACCTGATATCTATGGTCGGCCTGCAAAATTTGGGCTACCGATATCCATGCTGAAAATTCCATACTTGTACCATAAATACAGTGTGGAATCAAGCTGTAATCAAAATAAAATAAAAATAAAAATACCACCTAGGGCATGTATCGTCCTTCCAGGCTACTCTCTCTGAATAGTGAATCACTCCAGATGTTGTGACCAACGCTGACTAGGAGGTGCATTGCTGCACTTTCACAGAACTAATAGCACGCTTCGAACGATCTACGTGCTAAGTTCTACAGAAGAGATGGACGGAATTTCACACTCTTAAATGTTCACACTGCTATAAGTGAGCAGCTAGATAATATAAGATATGAAAGTTTACTTTTGAAAATTACAAAAGCTCTCTATCACAACATATGATGTCTTGTGGCACCTCTTCATCTATCATCACACTGATGAGTTTTTTCAGTGTCGTGCGTCGCATTACTGTGTCCGGCTACACAATATCTGAAACCAATCGGTCTTGGGAAATGGGAATATAGATAATTAAATCGCCGGAAAGAATGTATCCACTGAAATACCTGTTTTCTGTTTTGTCTCAATAGGGAGCTCACTGCACTTAGTATCGTAACAACTGGTGGCTGCTTTGTTTTCATATAACATTGAAAATCTGCTTAACTTCTGACCACAGCGATGTTCTGTTACTTATGTAGTTAAAAACTATAAGGAATATCATTATCCATAATTGATTTCACAGGAGAACGCTATGATAAAATTACTGCCCAAACTCTGCATGGATAATTAATCATTAGTCACTTGTTTATTACGTAGTGTAACACATGAATTTTGTTAATATTCAATAGTAATATTATTGAACTCGTGACATTTTAACGAACTATTTTACTTCTATATTACGTTATACAGAACAAAGAAGGATGGCCGATTGTTTTCCTTATCGCTAGTTTGGTTCACTTTGCTGGTGTTGCATTCTATGCTGTCTTTGCATCTGGTGAAAAACAACCTTGGGCAGAGGCACCAGAAGAAGCTCAGTGCAACTGGCAACCACCAACTGACTTACCAGCTGAGATGATACACGGAGAGTATGGTTATGCAGATCCAGATGAAAAGAGAGACAATAATCCAACTATACGCAGAATAAGTAATCAGAGAAATCCAAATGTAAGTGGAGGTCAGGTTTACAGTTCAGATTCAAGGTATACAGCAAGTGAGCATCGACCAATCGTTAATGATCCACAAGTCTATTCTCCAGACTATGGTTATGGAGAGACTGTGAGTGGAACAACAACGCGTCATGGTGGTAATCCATATCATCAAGGTTACTAAATGTGCATTTACAGGAAAATGTGAGATTGACATTTTCTTTAAACCTTAATAATATCAAGATTTATTAATGTTCATCCTGAAATAATCAACGAGAATCCCACAAACGAAATCATTCATTCTTAGAAGGTCAAAGATTATGTTCAATTTTTAGCAAATTCTTAACTTTAATTATTCTTTCCAGCTAATTCTTTTCGTTTCCTCTAGCAAAGTAAAGGTGAATGATCTCTTGTTTGTGTCCGTGTTACAGATTTCTTCCTTTTTTCTTCTTGAACCAGTTTTATTTATTGACAAATGAGTTACTCTTTTTTATTCAAAACAAAATCAACATATTTATTCACTTTTTAACTTATTTATTTACTAATATATCTAACAAAATCTTTTTTCCCTCAACCTTAATGACTACAATAAGGTAAGAGTTAAAACAACTATTTATTGAAACTAGTGAACAAATATTTGTTGTTGCAAGTCTTAATATTACAATAATTATGAAAGTCATTAATGAACCCTTAACTATTTACTAAGCATAGATCTATGAAATAGGTTTCGTCGACTAATAAAAAAAATTCAAATATACCTGAATTATTATTAAAACATTTTGTGTTTTTTGACTACATTTCATATAAATTATGTGGGGTGGAGAAATGTAATATAGTTGGCGCGCAGAATGAAATCCGTCATGATGAATATGTTACTCTGCACCATATCTCATTAAACAGATTCATTATATTCTTTTCTGTCCGTCTACTGATAAAATTTCTTGTCCAAAAGGAAATGTACATTTATTATACACCAGAAAGAAATTCTTTCACACTGAATACCACTTCATCACATATGCCATCCGCCATTTCGACCAAAACTGCAGGATTACTATCACATATTTTGTCCTTTAGACCAATCGGAATCTTTATTTCGAAATGAGTTTACTGCTTCATTACTTAACGGTAGTAAGAATTTTGCCAGCCCGCCGCATGACAGAGGGGAAGGTCAACCGCAAACAACCAAATTGGGAATCTGTTTCTATTTGCTTCCGACAAGCTGTTTTATCTGAGTGTTGCGCTACTACTGAGAATGGGTAGGTTTTTTATCTCCTGCGAAGTAAGGACTCGTCCTTTCAGTCTTTTCAATGCATCTGAAATAATTTTTTGATTTCAAAAGATGTTAGTGAACTGTCTTGTCTGATATGCAGTTCAACTTTGACTGAATAACTGCAAAACATTTTTTTCAAATCATTTTAGTATTCACGCGATCCAGTATTCTTCAGGTGGTAGAGCATAAAAGTGGTTATGAAAATAGTAGCCACCTATTAACGAAGAATATTAAGAAATAAAATTATTTGTATGATTTCATGAAACTGGGGGCGAGAGAGAAGCACATTTTAGGTGAACACGGAGCTCTCAATGAGATGGCTATATTAGAAATAAATGATGCGTCTAAGTCAACACAGTAAAGACAGTTGGGGAATCTATTCTAAGGAAGATTTTCCGATTATAAAAATGTTGTGGAAGAATGCAGGTGAATCCAGTAGGAATACACATTTAAGAAATACATAGTGATCCCATGTTTAAAACCAAATCTGTCAATTTTGCAATGCAATGCTTGCTGTCGAAATTATGCGAATTAGAACTAGGATTTCATTATTGTTGAGTACAGTTAACTACTTTATTGTTCCCTGTACAAATTATTCGCGGTTTTCATCAACTGCTTTCTGATGCTTCGACACTGAATTCGTATTGCAGTTAATCGAGGAAACTCAAAATAATCAGTCCTAGTAGTACCTGTAAGCACAGAGCTCGTTATGCAATAAAGCGGAAAACAAAGTAAGTGGTATAATAGATTAAATAACGGTACACATATTTATCCCTCTCAGTAGACGAAACATATCGTTATATAGGACTGTGACAACCATCCAACGGTAAGGTATATACAATGAAGCCGTTTAATCTAATATCAACATTCATGCAAATTTCAACAATTTGTCTAATCTCTACATTCCACGCGACATGTGGATAATACTCACATCCATTCTTATTTTGAAGTATAAATCCAGCTAAAACCTACGTGGCACTGAGTTGCTGAATGTAAGTACCTCATCACATCAAAGGAAAGTTCACTGCCATATATATATATATAGGTGATCCCTTTGTTAAAAACAGGTCTATATTAGCATGTCAGAATAGATGTTAAGGAGCCGTCACCAGCAAATGAAAATTGACATATTTCGGTCATGCCTGACTACTTTGCCAAGTAATGTGAAGTGGCTCCCATTCCGCAGCATAGTGCGATTACCGTGATGGAAGCGCTCGCCAATACATGCGTATGGAGCCCCAATGTCCTCAGACTGTGATCAGGGAGAAACTTCTGGAAATCGTTTGGTAGCCCAGATTTATTCGGAATCCGAAAGATACACACCACTCCGTATCATCCACGAGGGGTGGCCTGGTTGGGCATACAAACTGAACGATCAAAGAAATACATTGTTCATTTATCAGTCTCGCATCAGCCGACCACTGTGTCTGCCTTGGTGCTTACTCGCATACTGGGCATCGACGTTTTTTCTCAACTTACCTTTTTGGTCATGAGTTATGCTTACAGTGTGTAACTCAGACACTACTCCTCTTCTAATTGACCGCTGACTGTAATCCACACCTATGGATGCTTCCGAAGAATACGGTTGTAACACATGGAATGGAGTGTGAGCAGGCACAGTCTGCGATTAGTCATCATGAAAACTAACCATGAAAGTTTGGACTAAAGATATATATATATATAGCGGGTGGACGTGTTTGATTGCATTGATCACGTACCATGCAAGGACACTCCAGTAAGTTTCCTTACGTAAAACTTGGACGTTATGATATTACCCAAAGACGTTCTTCCGTCAAATTATTTATATATGTGCAGCAACTAGGAAAAGCGCAGACTGTGCGTTTACTACTGTGTGAAGAAAGAGATCATTACCAAAATCCTTCAGCATCTAAATCAACATCAGTGGCTGTGGAGTTGCACAAACTGGGAGATGGCTGTTCATATTCCGAGCACTATGACAGTGCCTCCCTTTCCACTAAAAGTTAGTCGTAACATTTAAGAAGCTGATATTCAATGTCCAATATCGTTTTTACGAGCTAGTATAAACTAATTTGATTTCTTTGTGCTCGCCTCTTGATTGTGAGGTAGAGGTTCCTGATTTTCGATAAACTTCTGCGTAGTTCGTCCCGCCACTCGACTGTCGTAGCTTTGCTTGACTCCAAAAGGAGTAGTGCTGGGATTAATTATATGTGGTTTGTAGTATGAGGTGTGTTAGGACTGTCACTACCGTGAACGGAGTTGATCCATTCACCAGTTAGTCCTCCGGTATCGTCGTCAAAAGAAAAGAGATAATAATAAAACCTTGATATAATTAGTGAAGTTATTCAGACTAACAGATAGAAAAAGAAGTGGGAAAACGTAGCAACAGTCAGCCGATTAAATTTGAAGAATAATATGAATTATATATATGTCAGTAATAATGATAATAATAATAATAGGTGTAGTTAAAGTTGTCAGGAGAGTAAGATGGGGGAGAATGTAAAGAAGTAAAATGACAAGTTTAGTTTTCTATCCCTGAATGGTGTATGCCATTTTAAGGGGATAGGCCATTTGGATGCAGTCCTTGTGTCGCTGCATGGTTGTCCAGCCTTCGCTTAAAGGCGTCCAGAAACGGTGCCATAGCCACATCTGACGTTAAGGAATTTCAGGGACAGCAAACCCGTACTGAAAAGAAGGGGGGGACCCGGGCCCTCGCCCTTTGGTGAGCTATCCTTCTGAGATTTCCACGAGGGAGCCTATACCTACTCGATGGTAGAACACCTTTGTTTGGGTGATTCTGGTCATTTTTTACTTTGTAGGCAGTAATTAAATCCCCCTTAAGACGACGGTAGCTAAGTGTGAATAGGCCCAATTTCTTCAGCCTTTCATCATATAGTTTGTTTCGGAGACCAACCACTCCTTTTGTTGCCCATCGTTGGACTCTTTCTAAGAGGTTGGCATCTCTTCTAAGCAGTGGGGGTGCAATAATATTATTCACTTCAAGCTGTGGTCTGACTTATGTTTTGTACAACCTTAGAGCCCAGGAGTGAGCACACCTAACTGTCTATGTGCAAAGTGTATGACCACATATGCCCTCGCTACATTCCCCGTGTAATTTACGCTTGTGTCCATTTTTTCCTTTACAACTAGACCTAAGTCACGTTCCGATCTTGTGCGGGGCAAGCTTTCATTGCACAGGGTGTAACTTGCATTCCGCAGTCAACATGTGCGTAACTTCATCACTTAGCACTTTTTCAGGTTGAAAGTCACGCCACTGGCCACCGCCCAGTCTTGCAGAAGGGTTAGATCTTGTTGTAGCCTATCTGAGTCCTCCGGACACTTTATCGCCCTCCATATCTTTACGTCGTCAGCGTATAGAAAAGCCGGGAAGCTTAGACGGAGTGGTAGATCAGTGATAAAAATCAGAATTATCAGTGGTCCTAGGATAGAACCCTGCGACACTCCTGATGACGAGCTGTGCCAAGATGATCGGACTCGATTGACCTTAGTGCAAAATTGCCTTTCAGCTAGGTAGTCCTTTGACCATAACAGAAACGGCTTGCCTATACCTGCCTGGCTTATTTTGTGTAGGAGAAGGTCTAGGCGAACAGTGTCAAACGCCTTCTCAAAGTCTAGGAAGACCACATGGACTGGAACATTCATATCCCACCATGATGTCTAATTGTTCCAAGCTGATAGTAGTTTAGCACTGCAGGATATGCCTTTTCTGAAACCGTGTTGTGCTTCATGGAGCATATTAGACCTTTCGAGGTATTCCCTGATGTGATCGTCAATAATACTTTCCAGTGCTTTTGATTCCACTAAGAGTACAGTTACTGGTCTATAACTAGTGGCATTTTGCCTATCCCCACCTTTGAAGATCGGAGAAAGGATGGCTCTTTTCCAATCCCGTGGAAGCTTCTCCGAATCCACTGAGTGTTGGAACAAGTCGCATAAGGGCCTACAGAGAGCTTCGGCGCACTGTTCCAGAACAGGTGGCCTGATGTCGTCACAACCTGGGGACTTCCCAGGTGTGAGTCGCTGTAGCTTCCTTAGTACCATTGCCGGGTTTATTTCGGGAGTAGTCGCTAGGTCTTCCTCCTGTGGAATAGTAGTGCCACCATTTTGGTCCTTAACGGCAATTCCCACATTGCTGTTTAGCTATTTGACGAAGGCCATACTGAATGTTTCAGCCATCTCCACACAAGTGAGATAATGACCGTTTGGGCCCACTAAGGCGCATGCCCCTCGTTGGTTGGTTTTCTTTCCCACATGAATCGGTACAAGTTTTGGGGCTTGCTAGGAGTTTTTAGCCTGGAATGACCCCCCGTCCGTCCTGACCCTTGCATTTCACCGGTTTGTGAGTTTCAGCTATGCATCGTGGTCGATCTTACTCTTAGATAAGCGCCACGTAAATTAAGGCTTCCGCTTTGCTTGCAGAATACGTTGTGTGCCTCTCTTCAACCATGATGGCTTTCTTTTGAGCTGTGTTGTGACTAAAGGGACGCTATCCAAGATAAC